CCAGCCCACAGCTCTAGTGACCCGTACAACTTCTCTCCTTTATTTTTGTGTAGTATTTTAAGTTTTGCCTGTAGAAGAAGTGTTCTGTTTGTTAGGACCTAGTTCCTGTGTTTACGCTCTGGACCCCAATCACTGAAACTGTCGCTCACTCATCTCTTCTGTGTCAGCAGTTGCTCCGTTCCTGCTGGGTCATCTCTGGGGATTTTGTTGTTGTTTGTTTGTTTGGTAAAGTCTCGCTAAGAGGAACAACAACATACAAAGAAGGGTCACAGTCTTGCCTGCCTCCTTAGTTTTCGCCTCCTTCTCTATTTCTGTTCATAGTCAGATTTGTTACTTGAGTTTCTTCTTGAGTACTTTTCATTAACTATTTAGCCTTATTCTGTTTTCCTTCTCTTCATGTGATTTCTGTTAATTTCTTTATATTTAAATATGACAATTGTAATGACTAGATTATTTCTGAGTTCTGGCTTCTAATATACAGTTGCCCTCTTGACATGTTCACTTGATGTCTTATAGGCCTTTAGAACCCAGCATGTTTAAAGTTTTAATTTCCTCTCTCTCCCATATTAATGTATCTCCATCTTCTGTAAGTCAGAAATGTAGGAAACATTATTTCTTTCTTATTCATTCACTTCTTTAAGGCCATCAGTAAGACCTAGTGATTTGCTGTCTGGAATGCATCTTCTGCTATTTCTTTGGCTTTCCTCAGGTTCACAGAGCAACAGAAGAGATGCTAAAATGTAAATTAAATTATTTCTCCTCCTCTGCTTTGAGACTATATTATTTTAACACCAAATCTACACTTTATACTATGACTTGTGAGGCAGCTAATCTACAATGGAATTTTACCCTAACTTAAAGTGAAGTTATGACTATGATCTGTTCCTTTCTTGTGTCTTCAGTTTTCCTCTTCCGTTTCTTGAAACTGCTGCCTGATTGGCTTTTCAGAATCTGCAGTATTATATATACTTTCATGCTTCTCTGCTTCTAGCTTTGCTGTTCCCTGCCTGGAATGCTTTTCCCTCTATTTCTCTTATTCTTTAGGTTGCTGGTTAAACATTGTCTCAGAAATTTTCTCCATTTGATGTTTAAGGCTTGTCTCTTACATTCTTACCACTTGTTTGATGCATTTGTGTGTGGTCACAATTTGTAATTTGTTTTTCATTGTTTTTAATGGATTAAGTTCTACTGTGACTGGAATACAAGCATCAGAAAGGCACGGGCTCTGGCTTTATCACTGTTGTCTAGAAGAGAACCTGCTATAGAGTGAGATTCCCCTCAGGTGTGATGAATAAATGAATGGGTAGATGAGTAATAGACCGGAAGTGTCCCTAAAAGGATCCAGCATCCTTGGATTTTACATTTGAAAAAATAATTATTGAAGATGACCCTGAATTATCCAACAAGAATTATAATAAGTGTAATCTATTTTAGAAAAATGAAGTTACAGAAATAATATTAAACAAACTTGATTATAAAGAAAATGGTTCTTAGAAAATGTAAAGGTCTTAAAATATTTTTTGATTCTCAATGTAACCTAAGTTTTCCTGTACTAAGGGTTTTTCACTGACTGTATCTTCCAGCTGAACAACTAATTTTAGGATTTGTAAATGAGTTATTAATTGTCTTTTGAATGTTACATACTCATTGGCATATATGGGTTATGCATTTGTAATTTGCTCTTGAAAAAATTTATTTTTGTCCCTCAAGTCAGTACTTGGGTAGAGCTTCTATGGACATACTCAGAACGGTAAAAAATTGGTGGATCCTATGTGCATGTTCCCAGTTGAGGCCTGGCAAGGCAACTCAGTCTTCTTGTTTCAGTTCTCATGTTGTAGACAAGTGTTTCCATTTAGGGCTATATTTTTCATATTTTTATTTTTTGTGGGCAATTGAGCTATTCAGCATGGCCCCCAAGCATATGGCTACATTATTGTCAGATATTCCTAAGTGCTAGAAGGCTACAACATGTCTTTGGAGAAAATTTACTGGAATGATTCACAGAATTCAGGAAAATGCTACACTTAATGATCACTGATATTCAATATACTCAGGTACGAAGTGCAGTATAGTAGTGTTGGCCATGAATTCAATACCAATGAAAAAATATATATAATATAATATATATATATGTCATCTTTAAAGAGAAACACACATAAAACAAGATTATTTATTGAGCAGTTGACGAAAATGTTGTGACCAGAGGCTCTCGGGAACCTAATCCTGTATTTCCTGTAGGAGCAATGGTTCAGTGTTCGCGGCGATTATAGAACGTAACTACCGTGAATAACGAGAGAGGACTGTAAGTTAAAATTCTGGACTTCAGTGGAAGTTTTAGGAAGTGCCTCCTCAGCTCTTAATTGTCATTTAGGGACCTTTTTGGTGGGGTACGTATTTCAAAGCCATTAAAGTAGGAGGAAAACTGAATTCTTTTGGTTCAACGATTCTTTTTGAGCACTTACTGTATGCCAGTAACTATACTAGCTTTGAAGTAAAGAAAAGAACTGAGTCATAAGATCTTCACTTTAAGTTAGGGTAAAATTCCATTATAGCTCAGCTGACCTGACACCAACTGGAACTGGGTATACTGCAATTAATTTCTGACACTAGGGGCTGGGGATTTAGCTCAGCGGCAAAAGCGCCTGCCTGGCAAGTGCAAGGTAGTGAGTTCGGTTCCCAGTACCGGAGAAAAACCAAAAAAAAAAAAAAAAAATTTCTGACACTACTGTGAGTTAGCGTATATTCTGTAAGTTAAAGTCAAAGTCCTCCACACATCTACCCATACTTGAGGGGGCACCCAGGCCACTTGAACTTTCTACTGTCTGGCTACAAATTTAGGAATTCCCATGATGCCTTCAGGTTCATTAGTTCCCGAGAACGAGTCACAGAACTCAGGAAGCTGCTGTACTTATGACTGGAATTTAATTATAAGTGAATGCTTATGAGGTGAGGTCTGTGGAGGAGTCCAGAATTGCTGTGTCCTCTGGCTATGGAACCAGAAAATGTCACCCCCTGGGCACATCAGTGTGACAGCCAGCTATGAAGTAGTTCTGAGCTTCAATATCCAGAGTTTTTAGGGAATTTCAGTCATAGTTATGATTTCATGTAAGTTGGTTTACATGACTGAACTCAATTTCCTTTCCTCCTGCTGTCACTAGAGGTTAGGTAGCTGGGAGTCCTAAGCTTCCAATCATGTGTTTGGTGTTTCTGGGGCCCAGACCCCACTGTGAATACATAGGGACCTGTCAGGCTTTACCTCATTAGCGTCGCCAAGACCCCTCCATCACTGGGGATATTCCAGGGATTTTTGATGCTTTGTGCCTGGAATCAAAGGTGATGTATGCTTTACTCTGTGCGAGACTGCCTCACAACCCATAGGAGATAAATTTAGAGTTTGTCAGGTAGAGCCTATAGGTGTTTTATGAGCAGAGAAAAGAGTGTATGCAAAAGCACCAAGAGACGAAGGAGTAAAATGTCATTCAGTGAAGCGAGACTGTTTTTGCTTTCAAGTGGGCAGTGGTTGAAGGTGAATCTGGAGGGGTGGCTACGGTCATAAAGGCTGTGGAAGCTGGGGATCACAAGCTCTGGACACATTTGGACCTCGTAATGCATGTTTTAATGGAAATTTTCAAACTTACAGAGAGTAGACAGAACAATGAACTTGTAGGTGCTCGCTGCAGTTAATAGCTGGTGGTCAGACTTGTTTCATCTGTATTCCCATTTGGCTCCCCTCCACTAACATTTTTTGTAGCAGATTCCAAATATCTTAGTATCTTAGTCATAGATATTTCTATTTGTATCTCTCATATATAAGCCTTTAAGAAATTACCACAACTCTATTATCAGAAAACTAATGATGCTTAATTCCATCGAATATTCAGTCATCATTCTAATTACCAATTCTGTTTTTTCTTAACATCAAGTCATTTGCAGATACTTTTAAAACATTGGGATATTTAATATTAAAATTTAGATTTTTATGATGGAAAAATTGGAAAGTACCAATACTTTAGGCCTGCATTTCTTCCTTTATCACATAGGACTGTGGTCAAAGTTCTTGCTTTGCTGCCTTATGCATTTTTTTACCCCTGGAGTGGCCTTGGAAAAGACTGAAACAGGGCATACACTTTGATAAGATTTCTATAGGGGAAAACATAACTAACTGTGAGCGCAGAGTGGACTTGATGAGACTTGTGTGCAGGGAGATCAGTGGGGGTTTTGTGGTAGAATTGCAGAGGAAGACACACTGAGCAAAGGTCTAAATTCTGGTAGAACGCATAGAGTTTAGAATAAAGAGTTGAGGGATAGAACTGATGAGAAATGTGGGCAGGATACATTAAAGATAAGATCTGGATGTCAAATTTAGGTGACTGGTGTGTAGTGGGATCTCTGGGTAAAACAGGAAATTCAGAGTGACCTGGCTGGTGCTGAGGTATTTGCTTGGGTATTTTAACCGAGTAGCAGAGGTGAACACACCCAGTTGTTTTTGGAATCGTAACTGAAAAATTTTAGATATAGCCAAGAATAAAGAGTTTTATAATGCAACAAATTTCTCTAATTCTTGTCCATACAACGTTTGAGAATTCTCACCCTAAATTTTAAAAAGGAAGGACATACCACCTATATGAGAGCATTCAAGCAGTTTTTTAAAAAAGATAACCATCAATTCTTTGAAATAAAAGTTGGGGAGTATTATGTTCCGACCCACTGGCCTCAGCATTCATTGCATGTACTTTTAGTAATATGTTGTAGCTGTAAGAAATGTGTACGTAGAGCATCGCAGGGCCTGGCATCTAGTAAGTGCTTGGTAAGTGTTCGCCAGCTTTGAACATAAGCCCGTTTAAGGCTTACGGAGTCGAGTGTGTTTTGGATTATAGTTTTCATCTGACGCTTGCCTGCAGGGTCTTCACAGATAGGAAGCTAAGTAAATCTTCGTGTAATAAATGAACACTTCTGGTGATTTTAAGTATTTTATTTAAAAAAATTCTTTTTTCCCTTAGTTTGCGGTGGTATCAACATCCTACAGAGGAAGAATTAAGAATTCTTGCAGGGAAGCAGCAAAAAGGGAAAAGCAAAAAAGACAGGTAAGACATACTGATGAGCTTGTAAAACACTCAACATTTAAATTTATGCAAATATGTTTTAAGGTTTTGATTAAAAGAACATTTATCAGCTGTGCTGTAAGCAGTTGATAAATTTGAGATCAAAACCCATGCAAATCAATAAGTGGAAATTAGCAATGTAAGTACAAAGTAATCATTATTTTACAAGAAAAATGGTTAACTTTATTATTGTGCTTAAATTATGGGAAAAATAGTTATCCTATTACAGAAAATTTACTTGGCAATTGTCTGGGGAGAGAACTGTGACCTGTGTCTTTACCCTACAACTCATTTCAAGTATCAGTTGGTTTGAATTCTTACCAGGATTTATTGTTATTGTGCAAATTGATCTGGTTTTTTGTTGTTGTTGTTTAATCTCAATTTCTTTATTTTTAAAATAAACGGGGTGGGCAGTACATCTTTGTGGGCCTTTTCAGCTCTTGATTTGACGGGGGGTTGGGGGCAACTCGGGATTGAACCCCAGCCTTGTGAGCTAAGTCAGTGCTCAACTGCTGATCAGTATCTCCAGCTCTCAGCTTTAGCATATTTCACCCACTTTTAGAGTTTATGAAGAGAACTGCTTGCTGATAACCCTCACTTAATGGGCTGCAGTAGCTGATCTGTGAAATGGAAAGCTGATCATAGTTGTTTTGAAGAATTTTTTCAGCTTTAAAATTGTACTTTTCTCTAATGTTGAATTCTCAGAGAAAGTGCATGTTATATATCTCTGAATGGGCCTGAGTTTGCTCAATTGGGGATCCAGGAGGCCTTCATAGGTCTTCTCTGACTCAGAAATCATGACTGTAATATGTATATTATAAGAGGACAGTGAGAACAATTACCACATTTCTCATGTGTATCATAAAAACTATTTTAACCTGGCTTAATAAATTGGTAGTTACAAAAAAATTCTTTAAACATTATTGATTATTTGGCATGAAATTGGAAATTTGATAAGACATTCTTTTCTGACCTTATTATCATCTTTTTCTTTTATCACTACATATACCTTGAACTTCATTGAAATACTAATTATAAACCCTTTTGTATTCCAGAATTAATTCTTAAATAATCTTGTCTAACAGTTTCCACAACTCTTTTACATACAGTTTTGCTTAATCTCCCAGTGACCCTAAGTATTTAATTTATGCTTCACTTTTTTCTTGTTTTTGTTGTTGTTGATTTTTTTTTTTTTTTTTTTTTCAGATTAGGTCTCACTTATATAGTCCAGCATGGCCATGAATTCACTATGTTGCTTAGGCTAGCTTTGAACCCTTGGTGATCCTCTTGCCTCAGCCTCCCAAGTACTGGGGTCATGGGCATATTCCACCATACCTGGCTTAATTTACACCTTTGTGATGAGAAGCTGTTGATGAGAGATGTTAAATGAGTTGCCCAAATTCACATAGTTAAGGGTCAGAATTTTAAATCAGATTAGTTTTTAGTTTCTACATTTATTTTCAACTCTTCCACCTGTAACTGTTCATTGCACATAATATATTCATTGCACATAGTATATTGAACATAGTATGTTCAACACTTATAGAATTTAGTTGTGTAGCATTCATTTAGTAAATATTTGAATCCTTTTCATATGTCTTGTAATTGATAACTTTATATTAATTATAATACGTCAAACAAGCTTTGTATATAAAGATGCATTAGTGATCCTTGTTCCTAGTTAACGATGATTGTTTGCTATATTGGCATGAAATTAGTACTGAGATTGTCCCCACTTAAGAATAAATGAAAGGGGGCTAGGGATTTAGCTCAGTGGCAAAAGCGCCTGCCTGGCAAGTGCAAGGTCGTGAGTTCGGTTCCTGGTACCGGAGAAAAACCGAAAAACAACAACAACAACAACAACAAAAAAAGAATAAATGAAAGAATTGTTGCCATTGTGGAAATGACTGTTATTATAACTTAAGTTTATTATTTCCTGTATCTGTTGGTCTTTCAAAACTAAGTTTAGTAGTGATGCAAGCATACCTGTTTTCTGCACCTGTGCTCTGTAGGGAGAACAACTCCCGAGTTAGCCTTTCATATTTCTGACTTTGTCCTGCCTGTTTATTTTAACGCTGTCCTTCAGCTCTGACCTAGTTACGGAGCTGTTTATGTATGTCTGTGTACACATGTTCATGTCATTTCAGGGAGGTGTACAGTCTTGTCTTCATTTGCTTTTCATTTTTGTTTCTGAAGAAAGAGATGATGGTAGGTTGTCTTTAAATCTGAAAAAGAGAGAGTAGGAGAAATTGCTGTTTAAGCTAGCAGCCAAGGTTTTGTGGCTGTCACTGATTCAGGTAATTCTTTCCCTGGTCATCTATTATTTACGTAATAATTTATTTCCGCATTTTGCAGTCCTCCTTTAGAAGCTACTTTTGAGTAAGTTACTTTTTTGATGAAATACTAGAAATTATTCTTTTTCACTGTGGATTTAAAATCTCATTTGTATTTAGTTTGATACAAGCACATGGATAACAGTCTAGGTAACTTGTTTTTGTGTCACTTGTCTGATTTTTATAGGAAATATAATGGTCACATTGAAAATAAACCACTAACCATTCCAAAGGATATTGACCTTCATCTAGAAACAAAGTCAGTTACAGAAGTGGATACTTTAGGTAAGGGAAATCTTGGTAAAATGGTCTATAAATTTCAGTTTTGTATTGTAGTAGCAAAAGTCCTTCCATTTTATCTATTGTGGCTAGGGTGTTTTTTTTTTATGTTTTTCTAATACTTACGTCCATTGTACTGACTATGAAAGCTGAGAACGTAGGATCTCAAAATGACTTCATTTGAATTTCTTTTTCTGTTCACCTAACTTTTTCCCACTTTTCAGAAGAGGATAAAGCTTATCTAAGCTTGTTACACAGTTTCTGTTTCTTAAGTTGAGATCACAGTTTTTGTAACCTTGAATTCTAAATTTGTTCTTATTTCTTACTTTAGCCTACTTTTGAAATGTGGCTTGCAGTAATGTATTTGTATATTTGTATTGAATTACCTATAATTTTAATAATTCGATTTTATTCTAACATTTGGTAGAAAGGATTTTTAGAATTAAAAATGGTTCTAGAAATGAGAAAACTTTGCTTAATTAGGATTCAGTTGTATCCATTGGGGATCTCTGAATAAATAATTTAATTTCATCCAGTTTCTCAGTTTTTATAATTGCATAACTGAAATTTTAAGTTTAAAATGAGATTTGTATGAAACTGAGTCCTAAACTGGAAAGACATCTGAAGTGATACCATTTAAAGCATTAAGAGTGTTCAGACTGCGCTGAATGTCAGAGTCCCTTGAGGAGCTCTAGGAGCTCTTTGAAATTCCGTACTCCTCCATTGGAGAGAGTTAGTCTATACCAGGTTCTGGAAATTTGCACTTTCAAAAGTCCTCCACGTGATTTTGATTTTTGACTATGTTTGAGTACTGGTGGATTACCTGTCAGCTGAGGAAATAAAACACTACATTCTTTAAAAATAATCTTTATCAAGTTGCATTTTGTAATTTGGCCTTTCCTGAGTAAAAATCACATCATCCTCAGAAAATGATGTCAGATTATCTGGCATCTCATACAGAATTATTTTATGATATAAAGTGCCTTCAAAATATCTGACAGTTGAATATTGCACCTAAAAAGCAGTGTCATATATATGGAAATGGTGTTGTAAAACTCCAAAATGGCAGAGCAGTATGAATCAGCCGTTTAGACTTTTAAGACTGGGTCTGCACCCTCTTTTTCCTTGTACTCTTCATGCAACACTTAAAACATTTAAAAACATTTTGGCTTTTTGATTAGTAGTTGTCATATTTGTTTAACTGTCTTACATTGTGCTTACTTAAATAAAAATATTCCCAGACGTATACAAATACAAGAATACAACACATTCTCCCTAATTTAGAGTATAATTTTTGTCATTTTTACTAGTAGTCCTTATGATATAATTATTAGCTACTTTAGTGATGTCTTAAAATTATTATCAGACGTTGTTTTAACTGCTTCTTTTGACTCATCCTCACAGTTCTGTGATAGGTAACTTTTTAACTTTTTCACGCATTAGAAAGAGTTAACTGACTTGGTCAGGGTTATATACTAAATGAGATTGAGCGAGTCGGTGAGGACTAGACTATTATAATGAACCTAAAAAATTGAAATTAGGCTGTTGTGCCTTTAGCATATTGTTGCTTATTTACTTGTTCAGTCTTGAGAATAGTTGCAAGTGGTATTACCCTAACAACTGTTTACTTAGTATCAAGAACATTCCAGTTACCTGGAACAGCAGAGATGTATTTATTTATGTTTATGTAGTCATTTGTGAACGTATGCTGTGTATGTATGTTTAGGCAAAAGTATAAAGTTTTCTGTGTGAACTTGGTTTGATTACAGTATTTTATTAAAAGTCACATATGTTATTACTGAATAAAAATTACGTTATTGAATAAAAAGGGAATGTAATTATAATACTTGGGTTAAATATATATCCAAGAATACATGTAACTTGTACTTTTGCTGAATGTGGTGTTGATACCAATAACTATTGTGAAAGTCCATCTCAGTTCGTATTAGCTGTCTAAGGTACGAGGTTAGGAACCTAAGACTTCAGTGTCACCTGGCTCTTCACTCTGAATGAGTTCCGTGGCAGAATCCTTTGTAAGTGTGGGCAAGCATGGAGAACTGGAATGCTAATTTAATTACTGTTAGTAAAAATTAAAAATCATTAAATGAGCCGATATTTGTCTGTCTTTTCATCATTTCAATGCCTTCTTGGCAGAAAGTTATTCAAATGACTGAATATGGGTCATGTTACTTTTTGAGGGAGAGAAGAATTGAGGGGGAGGAATCCTACAACCACTTCAGAATAAAACATTCAGCTAGTTCAGTCACAACAGAAAACTTAAACCAGTTAAAATATCTTGAATCAAACTAAGAGTGTTAAAATAACTGAAAGCATTTGAAAATTTACCCAATCATTAGAGTTTTGTATCTTTTAAAAATCTTGCTCCTGCTACTTCGAAACAATATGTTTGGTTAATTTGTTTTTAGTAAGTCTTTGAGTCATGTTTTATTTCCAGAATACTTTTTCTGTAAGGTATCGTATTGTGAGCTATAATTGTATTACATTTTCCAAGGAAAAGCTTTCCAAAGCAGTGTAGGTCATTTTATTGTGTGCTAGTAAGTACTTAGGAATTGATGGCTACATATGATTTACTTCTGTTTTTTAGAAGGCCTTTGAAAAAATAATGGTGATACTTTAGATTATACTCTAGTGGAAGTAAAACAGAATATCTGTACCTTATAAGAAGTTTAAATTAAGTGAGATACAAAAGATAATGGATTATATTTACTTTCAGAGAATGCTAATTTTAATGTAAACGCAAAGAATGGAATTGTTTGTTGAAGGGGTATGGTTCTGTGTAAAATCAACACATCTTTTATCTGCTTTTCTTACAGAGCAGAGGAGAGAATAAAAAGTATATTTTTTCAGTTTATTTTCATCTGCAGTAACTCACAAAATTAATAATTCTCCGTTGGTATGATTAATTCCTGTAACACAAGGTTTAATTCTCTTCACAGAAATGAACAGTACAAGTAAATCTTTTTTTCCTAGACTAAGTTGTATTAATTGAAGTTAAGATAACATAAATAGAGCCTCAAGAAGAAAATTTTTGACTTACGATTTCTTTTAAAAGTAGCTAATTAACTAAGAAAATAAAGCCATTTGCAATGTTGTTTTAAAAACAATTTAAATAATTTTTGGTAATTTCCAGTTTATTTAATTATTTAATTTATGAGCTATTCATATTTAATTTTGGATGCTATGTTCTGAATCTCTTCTGAATTTTTATATTCTTGTATTTGCAAACCTTATGTTGGAAATAAAATATAGCATACATAAAAGTTAATTATAGCTCATAAGTTGTGAAAATTTAAGTGAAACTTTTTAAAAAATTTTATTTTTCAGTATTACATTACTTTCCGGAGTACCAGTGGCTGGTGGATTTTACGGTGGCTGCTACAGTGGTATATCTAGTAACTGAAGTCTACTATAATTTTGTGAAGCCTACACAGGAAATGAATATCAGCTTAGTCTGGTGTCTTCTGGTTTTGTCCTTTGCAATGTATCCTTCAAACATCATTAATTTATTTTTCCTTTGCAACTAACATCTACCATTAGACCTCATCTCTGATTTGAAAAACAAATGTAGGTCATTAGGGGACTTTTCTTCATTGAATTCTTTATGTAATTGAAGAGCATTTCAACATAATAGGGGTAAATAGCTTAAAAGGTATATACAGGGAAAACACCAGTTCACTGCTTTTCCTCTCTTACCCAAGTCTAATGTTACAGTGCTAAGCCAATTTCACCTCTTTTAAAAAAGGTGTGGTATTTTTTTTTGAGGGATTTCTTTCCAGATGTTTAACTACTATATGGTATTGATGCTGTTTTGTTGTTAAATGTTGTACCTTTCTCCTTTTTCTCTTCCATTGTCTCAAAATAGAGACATTTTATTAAATTTGTAATCAGTTATAATGCAAAAGTATCATTTATAGCTAAATAGAATGGCATTTTACCACTTTCCTTGAGTAATTTTTGTGTTATTGTTGTTGTATGAGACTAAACTTCCGCAGAATTATTGGTATATCATCAGTTCATGTTCTTCTGAGAATTTCTAATACCACTTTCTGGATCCCAGGAACTCCTATTCTGGCTTATTCTTGTTTTGTCGAGAGCATTTTCTTATAGAGTCCTTAGAAAAGAATGTTTTTGAAGTTTGGTATGCCTGAAATTATCTACTTTTCTCCCATAATTGGTTGATAGTTTGGCTCAGAAAATTTGAAGAAAGAAATAATTTTTCCTCAGAATTTTGGAACCTTGAGAAATTGGATGCCCTTTTGCTCCTCATACTGTACCCCTTCTTCTCCCTTTACACACACACACACACACACACACACACACACACACACCCGTCCCCGAAGCTTTGGCTCTCTGTCCTTTTGAGTTTTATCACTTATTGTGTTAAGTTTCCTTTAGCTCTAGCAACTCAGATCTTTTACTTCCGGGAGATATTTTTTATGCCCATTGAAGGTCTGTTTGCATCCTTTTTCTGGGAATTTGCAAGTCTGGAAACTCATGTTCTTGAATTCTAGAAAATTTTCTTGAATGATTTTATTGGTCATTTTTTTTCTTTAGGAATACTTATAGTTCAGATATTGGGTCTTCTAGGATGGTATTCTAAAGGTGTTATCTTTTTTTCTCATATGTAGGTTTATGATATTTTTTTATTTTTCTGGGAGGTTTTCTTAATATTCTCAAGAGTATTATTATTTTGTTTTGAATTTCACCTATAATTTTAATTTTTAAGAGCCTTTTTTTATTTTCCCACTTCTTAATGAAACCCTGTTTAATGATTATATTACCTTCTCATTAATACTTTAGATTAATGATAAATTTCATAGAAGTTTTCTGCCACACATCTTTCTGTTCTAAGTTGCTTCTGTTTGTTTAGTCTGGTTATTCTCTTTCATGTTAATGGCTTTTCTGAGAGCTTTAATGAGTAGGCTTGCCTGTCTATATACAAAGTATAATTGAAAAATAGTGGGGATTGAACTCAGGGAGCTCTTAGCTACCTCCACAGCCCTTTTGAAATTTTATTTTAAAACAAAGTCTCACTAAATTGCCCAGTCTGTCCTTGAACTTGTAATCTTCCTGCCATGGCCTCCCAAGTAGCTGAGATTGTAGCTATGTGCCACTATGGCCAGCTTGTTGAATTTTTCATATGAACTTTAAAAAAAAAAAATTAGGATTATTTAATGTTGCATTTTCATAGTATTGGTGTCACAGGTATGAAATAGCTTTTCATTTCTAAGGATGGATGGATGGATGGATGGATTTTTGAGAAGGGGTCTTAATTACATTCTCCCAACTGGGCTTGAACTTATTTTTCTCTATGTCTTAGAATCTTGGGTAGCTTGGATTACAGGGATGTGGCTCCATGCCCAGCAGTTATTAATATCTTTTAAATTCTAATTTACATCTTACATAATTTATTTTCTTAGCGTCTTTCTGCTTTAATCATAATCAGAGATTGCTCTCAAAGGTCTTGTTATCCTTGCATATCTGTTGATGCTCGAGAAAGCACTAAAAAGTTGGAAGTGTGATGTACCTGTCTAGCGTTTGTCAGTTGCTGAGCCTTTCTGTGGCTGATTGAGTGGGGACCTGGCAGTATCCTGGCGGCTTGGGGGATCTTGGCAGTGTCTGTAGGTTGTTGGGCTGTCATTTTCTGCAGAGAGGAGTTGTCTGTTCTCTTTACTGTAGAGTATAACAGGTAATGTTATGGGAACTGATCCAGGCAAGAAGCTCAGAATCTCAACATTCACTGTTCAGGTACTTGTGTTTTCAGCTCTTTATTAATTTTTGCATAGTACTCACAAGTCAGCCTTACATGGTTTACTAACTTAATTAAGAAACTAATCCTTAACATTCTGCCAGAGTTGCTATAGGGCCACCAGGCGGTCTGTGTGATTATGCAAAGGAGAAGATCCGGGAAGTCTTAATAACCACTGACAGAGACTTTGAACCAGTTCTCCTGTTTGCATCCAGTCTAGGTGCTCTGCACTCAGAGGTACCTGGTTTCTCCGGTTGCTGACTCAGGGCTTCTGATGAATGAATTCTTTCTTAAAGTGTTCCTTTCCTTGTAGATCGAACATGGCAAAGAAAGCTGAAACCTGAATTAGTTTGTCTGTCCACTTTCTATCTTCTAAAATCTTACTGCTAACTTTTTACCTCATTTATCTCTTATTGTTGAAATGTTTTACTTCTGTTTGTGTTTGATTTAATCAGATTTTGGGAGTGAGTGAGCCAGCACACTATCTTTGCTAAGTAGGTACTGTTTTAGGTGTGTGTTATGAATTGACATTTCAGTATCACTTGTCTCACTCTCTGTTGACTTTGGGATTGACTTGGGTATCATTGAAAGCAGCAGGACCAAAACTGAGGCTTGAGAGGAACATTTTCACAAAGTATGTGATGTCGTGGGTGGAGGAACTGACGATGTGTGCCAGTTGGGGGCTAGCCTCAGATATCCATTGTTAAACTAATTCCAAGAACAGATTAAGTTCAAGCATTTCAAGTATTACTGTTCAGTTCTATAGTATTAAGTATGTTGTACTACTACTCAGTCAGAATAAAGATCCGTCCCCCATAGCAAATCATGTAAAACCCATGAAAAATGTTTTAACCTGGTAATTAGCATTAGCTAACTGTATGTTAAAATTTTTATAATTTAGTGAGTTCTCATGTTCTTCAAAATAGTTTATTAAGCAATGTTTTCTTTTTTGTTATGGTTTATACATATATAGGAATGTATATTCTTCTTACGCAGTTTTATTTGAATGGGATACAGCCCTTGATACCTGCCTACCAGAAATTTTAGAAACACACTTGTACATAGCTGTTCATATTGTTTCTGTGAATAAATTTCACATTTTTCACTCAGTAACACCTGATAACATGGAGCAAAGGTCTCACAGACAGCAGCCTGTAGACTGGCTCTACGTTTAAACAGTGTGTTCAGGGAAGGTGACAACCAGTGGTATCCCCATGAGAATCTCTCCCTCTTAGAAAAGACACAAAGTACTGAGGAGTTTAGAATCCAAGCTGTTTTTTGCCAACCTTGACTCTCCGCAAAAGAGGTAGAAGAGAAGGAAGAAATAGACGTGTGTATGCTTGACTGTATGGTTTTTTCAGTCCTGTAGCAGCTGAGAAAATAACCTGCTTCCTCTAACTTGCAGAACACCAGAATTCAATGCTAGATAACCAGATTAACACCAAAGAGAGGATTGTTTAAGTCTTTTATCTTAGTATAACATCTGGTTTTCTTTGCCTTCTCTGAAGTGAATCTCGCAGAAATGACTTCTGTGTGGCTTCTCTTCATTTTCTTACTATGTGTGCTGACTTGTTAGTCAAACACGTGTCTCCATTGATCACATAGGACAGTGGCTCTACTGAATTCCAGACACACATACCTCAAGTGATTCAGACATTCTCTGTAGTTGTTACTGATGAAATATCCTTTGTCAAAGTGGTACCAACTTAGGTACATAGAACATCATCAGTTCACTTGAAAGTTAGGAATAAAATTGCCGTTTTCATAATCATTTTATTTTCTTCCCACTAGTTATATTTGACATACTAAGTAGGACAGCAGTTATAAGTTCTGTAGAATCTTAAAATTTCGAGAAGTATGAGAATTACTTTTTAAAATGTGTAATACTAATCATGCACTTCAGAATCTAGAGCTGAACCATCCCTTGTCATTGGCTTGCTTTCTGCTTCAGCTGAGTGACACCTTCATCTCATCTGTCACCTCTTCCACTCTCACTGCAGACCTCAAACTAGTTCCCAGCCCTTTCTCTTTCCCATCTGTCGTCCTAACACCTCTTTTGACCAAGGCTGTGTGTCCCGCTGCTGCTTGTGCTGAGTTGCGTAGGGAAGGAAGAGGGTGCAGGAAGCCTTGTGATGAGGATGGAGTGAGTTTAGTAGTCGTCTTTCCTGGATGGCGGCCCAGGGAGCTCTCACAGGGACTGGAGAAATGGCTACTGATGGTATGAGTCTGAAGCATGTTTTCCCTTTCAGATAAATAAAAGGTAAAAAGCCAGAGATCTTTTGGTAGTATAAAAATTAAAATACAATGAATACATCCAAAATTTTTTTCTTAGAAATAAGCTGTAGCATAGAGAGTAATATTGAGTTAATTACCTGAATCTGAGTAGGAAGCTGTTCAGAAAAGAAGAATAAACGTATTGTATTTGGTTAAAGAACTGGATCATGTGTCACATACCCAGTGCTTATATTTTACAGTGTGATGGTTTAAGATACGGAACCTGTTGTACATGTTTTTGTGGCTTTGTTTCACATTTTTAATTTGCCTTGGTTGTACGCATGGGAATTTTATGTAAAACTAATAACTGAACGATTAAAATACGTCCTAGAGTTTCGTGGTTTAACATACAACTCTTGATGTGAATTTGTAAGTTAAACATGTATAGATCAAATGCTGCCTTGTTTGCTGTGGGAAAGAAGACAACTTTCACAAACCAGTACAATTTATTCACCATT